ATTGCCAATGTAGCATTTTATTTCGCTCACTCACTATAAGTATGTACCACCATGTTTATCATACCACAATTTGAACATAAACAGAGACTGAAATGCGAAGCGTTGGTTTGCCGTCTTTGTGTCATGTTAGCTCCAGACGACACACACACAGATCAAAGTCAATGTTAATGATCATAATGCGAAGCCGCTTCGCTGTAAGGAGCTTGAAAGCCATTACAGGGATCAACAAAATGTATGTTACTATGTCGGAGGGATATATTTTTTCAGTTGTATACCGTTGCAGCGGGATGTATGGTAAATAAGGAGGAAGGATAAGGATCTTTTTGTGGCCCGCTTGAAATGTCAATTTTTAAAGTTGCTGAAAACTTTGCAATATTGTTATGCCAGTTATCAGACATATTCAGTTTACGTCAGTGACTATTTATATTCAAGCATGGCACCTTTTAAGAAAACAATGACATATAATAGTCAGAATAATTTGATTTTCAAAACCAATAATTTATATCAATATATTATGCTTAAAGCTAACACATTAAAACTATAGTGTTATTCGTACGTTTGTCTGTTATTTAACGCCACACTTAGAAATACTATAACAAATATATGACGGCGGGCAGAACATAATCAAGTCTAGATCAGACAATCCAATGCTTTATATTATGAACAGCGATCCACGCGCAAAGGTGGTGACACGCCAGCAACCAAGTCAACGATCTTTACCACCCGATCCACAAAGTCAACTCTAACGGCCAACCTATTTTGCTGGAGACCAATTCTAACCCGGAATCCCTAGGCCGATTCTATTGAAGCTGTCTCGCAAGAGAATTCAGTATTAACTCCAACACAATAAAGTGATATCCACAGCAAGCTGTAAAACCGGCCATATTGATTGCAATTTTGTGATCTAAAAATGAACAATGTGCAGGACTAATTTCTATGAATATCACGCTCTTGATTTCTTCCTTCGAGCATACTGTTGTTTTCACACATACACGTGATGAATCAATACCTGTGATGTTCCGCCGGAGTCCTTCATGGAGAACAGTGACATCCACAAAACACCGCTGAATGAACAGACTGAAATTCGATGACACGGCACTGCATCTCTATTTGAAGGACATTTCTGAAACGACACTTGTCTCTGTTGAATGATAATAAGTCCAATCTTTTCGAGCACCAAAGGATTGACCCAGTCCCCCAAGGCGCCGCAATAATCTGTGCAGAGTTGCGTCCCTTGAGCACGCCAGAAACCTGTGATTGTGGATTCGTATCCCGGTTCGCCCCGATAATGTTTCTAGGTTTGCCTCCACCATACCCCTGCTCGTTGTTTGACCAAAGTGGTAAACGTCTGAGACCTGCATCAGTTCAGGGTTTCCTTTCATGTCAAGCTATCACGTTGGGATGTAACTGGGATACTGTTCAAAGCGGCCTTAGATCCAACTCACTCACTCACTCACTCACTCACTCACTCACGAACGAACGAAACAGCAGGATGATTCCATGAGCACGCCTGAAACCTACGCATCTCGATTCTCTTCGATTATGTTTCCAGGTTTGTTAGCACCGTACCCGTGCTCATGCTTAAACCAAAGTGGTAGAATTCTGAGACCTGCGTCACTTCGGGCCTTCCTCCCACACCAAGCTGACAAGCCGTGATATAGCTGGAACACTGTTCAAAGCGGCATTAAACTAACCTTACTTACTCCAACACGAAACAAACCATAAAAAGGATAACATAGCACCGCGGCTCTATTTGGAGTATATTTCTTGTCTCTGTTCAATGGTAAAGAGTCAACCAACTCTTAACGCTGTTATGAAATGTATGGTAAATAACAACAAACAACATTGTCTTGTTAAACATGTTTAGTGCATGAGCCTGTTCGCTTGGTGGTGACCTGGCTGGGATACCTGTTCACACGATAGAAATGGTATGATGAAAAGGGGATGTTGATAGGCAGGGTTCTTGGGGGAGGTGGATGGGATTTGACGGGTGCGGGTGGGATCTTGCGGGACGGGATGGGATCTGGCGGATGTAGGTGGATTTGACTGGAGTGGTCCAGGGTGGGTGGACCAAAAGAAGGGTAGATACACATATATCAATCCACATCATATCAATATCTGCATGTAATAAAATAATCACGAGAGTTGATAGAAACCAGGACTCTTTCCATTTTCATATTACAGCTACTCAGTCAATGCCGAGGTTACTGATTATAATATCGATTATATGTTTCTAAAAAATCAAATCAAATTTCATTTTCTGAATAACTCATACATACAGGAGGCGCACATTGCTTGTGTAACAGGAAGGGAAAACCAAGGAGGCTGGAGCGAGACTCACCATGTTTCAGTGTGATTAATTGCCTTTGGGCTTCCATAAGAGACTACCTACAATCACCAAAGATAAACAGTGAAGTCGATTGTGCAAATTGAACTCTGATCAAAATTTCTGTCGACACTTCATCTATGACCTTGGCCAGGCTTTAACAACCTTGGATTACCCATGCATGGGTTATTAGGGGTCTTGTCAAACGTTGAAGCTGAACAAACTAAATTAAATCAGTTTCTACATTGACAATTACCCCTCCACCCGCCGTGCTTAAAACTACATTAGTATACATCGATGAACGGATAATGAATATGCTATTACGGAGCAACGGTGCCCTGTGGAATCTGTTTCTGCAGATATTTAAGATTGATTATTCTTTGGCGTTGACGCTTTGAAATTGACATGTACGAAATTACAGGGCATTGTACTTTGTTAAATGTTTTACTTCAAATATGAACACTGATGACCCTAAATCCAGACTTGATAAATTTAGATTAAGTTTGAGCGATATTTTGAGGAGACCCATTAGTGTCCAATGCCCAATGACAAGCTTGACGCGTTCTTCTTTAGTGCCCATTCCATCTGGACGTATCGAGTATAATGCGTACTGGTAGCAACACATGTGGAGAATATTATTGCACGCAGATATGTATGAGTTGGAGTGGCAAACAATGGATCTGATGCAACCAAAAGAGCCTATGCACGCAGAAATCTCATACAAACGAACGATATAATGCAAGCAATAGATCTAATCCAAACATTTGATCCCATGCACGCATCAGATATAATGCAAACAATAGATCCGATCCACATAGCTTGCACAGATCTAATGCAAACAATAAATCCTATGCTCGCAACAGATCTAATGCAATCAACAGATCCTGTGCACACAACAGATCTAATGCAAACAATACATCCCATGCACGCAACAGATCTAATGCAATCAATAGATCCAGTGCACGCAACAAATCTTTTGCAAACACTTTATCCAAGGAATGCCAAAAATCCAGTTACAACAGAAAACACATCCACTGGCAAACAAAGGATCGAATGATAGCATCAGATTCAGAACTGGAGTTCAAATGGAAACAAACGATCTCATGCGAACAACGGATCTAGCGAAAACAGCAGATCCAGTGCAAACAGCAAATGTTTCAGTAGATCTAAATGGAGATATCAGATTAAATGCCAACAACAGTCGGTGGGATGACAATAAAATCTAGTTTTATCTGTATCCTCTCACAACGTCTGTACTAATCAGAACAATCATAAGGCCAAAAATGCTTATGGTTCTGTTTTTGTTTTTTTGCCTAAAAATGACGATGTCCCGAGTTTTAAATTTTCATTTATTTATTTTTACTATGCAGGAACATATCAGTAGTCGTTAAAAAGCTAAAAAAACCACATAAGAACACAATGCGTTCCATTACCGTTTCGTTTTCGGGTTCGGGTTCGCAAATTAGAGTTACGTGCCCTTGGTTTAAAATCCGGAAAAAAGGACAGAATCAAGGGTTGAAAATGACGCGGACGGAAACCAGAAACATAAGACTGTTTTTGTCTCCCATGTTCACTGATATTATTCACCTCGGCTGAAACCTTTTGGAAACAAATTGGCATAGCTCTAGCAAAGTAAACTTCCAGTTTTGCATATATGTTTAACGTCAACCAGTCACAGTGCAATATTTTACGCCTCGTCATCTTATCATGTACAAAAAATATCACATAAATTCAAAACTGCAAAATTTGTTACACAAATAGAATATACACAGTACAAACCAAGACCCAGAATCAAGTCAATTTCTGATATCATCAAAATATCAACATTCGTTGGTAACATTCTTGATAAGTAATCGTAATCATATATACAATGTAACTGCTAGATAACAACATGGTATACCTCTCATTAAAGTTTTTGCGCCACTTTTAGCACTATTCAAGCACTTGCACTGCGGGGAACACCAGAAATGGGTTTCACACAATATACCCATGTGGGGAATCGAACCCGGGTCATCGGCGTGAAGAGCGAACGCTTTAACCACTAGGCTACCCAACTGCCCCTCTGACTAAAGAAACAATATGAATGCTGTTTGGCAAGTGGAATGAATAATACTCATGAACATAGGGTTTGCTTGTTGAGAGTTAAAAAAACACCCTTATCACGTGTTTACTTTGGTCCTATTTCTTTCATCCATGTGACTTTCACAGCTATTTTGCCCTTTACGCCAAATAGAATCGGTTTCGGGGGATACTTAAGCCTTGTTATTTTCTTGCATTGACCTTTTATAATCCATTTACCATTACAATGCATTTGTAATCGTTTTGAACATAATTTTGATAGTAATAAATGTATACAACTCAAAAGAAGTTAAAGAATACCCGATTTTTTCACATGACTGCAGTTAATCTGTCATGGCTGGTGGGTATTCCAACACACATCCTTCCGATTGTGGGTGTTCTTTAACTTGTGTTGATAATAGTTTCGAAAACCTTATTTGACATCGAAACGTTATTTTACACCAATCTCTTAAACGGAAATAAGGCTAGCGCGATGACGTTCGCCAATATAGCTGATAAAGAGCAAGCTATGTTTTTTTTCTTCTGAAGCAGCTGAAAATGTCAACCAACATTATTAAATTACAAACATTTTTGTGGAGTCTTTTCCCGTTGAACGAAAGAAGATTTGACCTTAACGTTAAAATTCGGATACATGAGCAAGCGGCAGTGATGATTAAATTACAAATGTAAATTTGGCATGATATGGGAAGATTAACAAGGGAAGAAACAAGTCAATTTGAATAACAACCACGCCTCGGCAATATTGTTCGCTTTAAACTGCATTTCAGCGTCTTTCTATCACAGGAAAACTTAACGGCCTGTTATTCCAACATGAAAAGATAACTGGGCAAAAACTGACATGATCTAGTCCAGTTAAACTGCAATTGAGTGATTATTCTGTTGAGCTGAAGGAAAACATGAATATTCAACATGAACAATGATGTTTTCACATGGGATTTCCTCGTTGTGGGGAACAAGTAGCAGAATAAAACACATCTTGATATTTGTACATTCGATGTTTACGGGATTATTTCGTTAGAACACATTCTTCACTACGTGTTAACGGGCCAGCTGATATGAATATGAGAAAGAAGAATTTTGAAAGAAAAACCTAACTTGTCGCATATTCATAAAAAAAAACAATATATGGGCCAATACAATGAATGTTTCCCATAAATTCTCCGTCATTTAACGTGTTAATCTTAAGACATTCTACTTTCAATTTTCATTTAAATACTCAGAAACTCCCTAAACCATGAAATGATGATTAAAATTTGTGTATTTCCAGGCAATCGGATATCCTGAATATAATGAAACCTCGTGAACATAAATCGATATATCATTTAATTCGAACTTCAGAATCCAAACAGAATCATTATCATCGCTTTCCGATCTAATATCGGCGCTATATGGTTTTATGTAGGAAATATGGGCTAATATCAGTTGTACGTCTGTCTCGAACATCTGTTAACTTTACTTTTCCATGATTCCAAAGATTCGAGTTAACGAGGTTTCACAGTAACGAGTTGAACCGAAGTCCCCTGCGATACCCAGTACCTGTATAACAAAATGAACTGATTTGAAAAGTCCGTTAGAGTTCGTTACATGTGGGTGTGAATTAAAATGTTAATGTACCTAACGGGCAAATCATTAGTCAAACCGGGCGTTAGTTATACTGTTTCTATCGTAACACTCGGCTCCTCGCCTTGGAGAACTCGGACCACAAACTCGTAACATCTTTCTGAACTTCCGGCGGAAGTTCTGGTTACAAAGTGGGTAGAGGAAGGGGTTGAGCGTCGAGTTGAGGTAGCCTACCCACGTCATCGCTGTAAGGAGTCCAGGATCAATACAATCATCACAGAAAGCAACCACTAAAAATAAAATAAAATAGGGCAAAAAACACAATGTAAACGCCCCCATGATTACACCGAGCTGACGAGCAGCCTTGATTTCCTTTGTCAAAGAAGATGATTGGCGAAATGTTTTAATTCTTTCTTTTATATTCAACATTCCAGTCAATCGTCTGTTTTTATCATCCCGTAAGACAAATAAATTCTTTTCCCTGCTGTTCTGCCGACTCCCGTCCGACACAGCAACAGTCTTATCTAACAAGCGTTCTGCTTGGCGTATCCGCCGAATACCACTTATTAGAGAATAGTTCTCTCCCCTTGATGGTTGTCGTTCGTGTTTGTCATTCGGCCTATCTTCGAAAGTACTCGCGGAGGAACTGGAATGGGACGATGATGTTTCGGATCGAGCTCGACAATTTCCGGCAACAGCTCCCGGGTTTTTTATTTGTAAAGGCAAGTGTTCTTCATAGTAATACCTCTCGATTCTCTCCGTTTGAGGATCTACAACGCTTTCATCATATATATATTCCACTCTATAAGCGGCTGGCGATCGAGCCTCCCTTGCGCTCATCTGTCTTTTAACGGCAACAAGACGAAGGTTTTTATAACCGTCTCGACTCTTTGTGGAAACACTCCTCCCGTTAAAGTGGGCGTTCTGAATAGTCCGCGATGCAATGACAGGATCTTCTTGTATAGAATGGGTATTGTCATCCGCAAATGTGTCATCCCGATGTTCACTTTCATCCCCGGAGTGCGACGGCTGAGGCCCAGTGATGTAAGTCGGAACTCCCCCACAATTCCTCTGTCCTAACTCAAATTCCGAACGTTTGCGAATTTCTTGGAATATTTTCCAATATAATGAATACATCACAGCTAGCGGTAAGTAAAAATTGAAAAACGCAGTCACTATTTTAAAAACAGAATCACGAGCATATTCGGTATCACAAACATCGTGCTCCACAGTCCGTACACCCCCGTGAGCAATATGGTGCCACCCTATGATTGGAATAATCCACAAGCATGACGCTGTCCACACGCAAGATATCATGATGAGCGCTCTCTTTTTGGTGCGTTTCCTGAGGTACAGCAGAGGAGCGGTGACGGACCAGTAGCGGTCCAGGCTAAGGATGAAGAGGTTGAGGATGGAGGCGGTGGAGGCGATGTAGTCGATGCCGATCCAGATCTGACAGACGGCAACGCCAAAGAGCCAGTCGGTGGTGAAGATGTAGACGGTGGAGATGGGCATGACGCTGAGGCCGACGATCAGATCTGCTATGGCCAAACTGACGATGAACATGTTGCTTACCTGAAAGTATACGGTAATAGCGTTAGATTATTGACAGTAAATATAAAAAAGTCACCAGTCTCGCTTATCCGACGTAACAGATTCTATTGAACGTAAAAGGCAAAATAACCTCGAAAATGAACATGAATTGATCACTGAAAATCAGTGATGACAAAATTTAACGTGATAATTTCTATATTCCTATTTGAGCAGTGTATATTGAAACTGAAAAGAAGTAGATATGAGGAACTCAAGTCAATCTGATCTAAATACTAGTTGTAGAGCGTCCAGGACACCGTCATCTTCCCGAGGCAAGATAGTTAACTGACTATAAATGTCCAGTTTCCACCCTTGCCGAACCCTGCTGGAATTCCTGGGCTTGATCGTAGCGCCACAAGTGGCTATTACAAGTTATGTCCCTTCTATGCCTCTCCTATGGACCAATCAGATTCCACCTCTCGTATCACTTGCATTTGCTTCAGACAAAACGGCGGCGCCCAGTCAAGACGATCTGATGATAATCAAGATCTCTATATTGTGATAAAACGAGTCTTACGTCGCGAAGTGCATCAAATCAATATATAAATGTTAAAATATGTTAAAAGATGGTTCTTGTTAACGCGCCAGCAGCTCGGCATTGAGGGGATAAAGCAAAGACTGGTCGTCTCGCAATCGGTATACTGTTTCTGGGTGGGGTATTCATGTTAAACTGCGACATGATATCTCAGTGGGTTAGCACTATAAAATCGGCATTAGTCCCTACTAGTACAAGCAGCCTACCAGCCTCGTTCCGAACATATAATTGATATTTTTTTATAACATTGAGATGCCACCACGTGTTGGCATAAAGGGTAAGCACGCCACTAGAATCAATGTATTGTGTTGATGCAAACATGAGTATCAACACATAAATAATTTCTCCGACATTTGACAAACGTGTCATTTAGAATTGACTGTGCATTTCTTTCGGTCCATTGAGGTCAAAAGCGCCAAGCTAGCACGCGCCAGGTGCTGAGATCGTATCCCGCTAATCACTGGGTTGTTATTCAGCCTTGGTGCCAACAATGTTTACAGGTCAGTGTTGTCAATACCCCTAGTGTTCAGTGCATACTCCCTGTGCACTCAAAAACCCACTCGTCCGATGGTACATGACCAGATGGTGGGAACACCAATACGTACATACACCCGAAACACGAGTGTCAAAACCTATGGTGTCACCCTGGGCAAGTGACTTAGTTCGAATGTGCCTCTGTTCCCCCAGCGGGGAATGGGTACCCGACATGTTAGGTGGATGTAAAAGCCTTTTAGCTTGGGTTGTATACTCCTCAGGGAGTTGAGGATGATAACTTGAATGCAAACGAGGCCATTGGTCGACGAACAAATAAAACAAATAAACAAATAAAACCGCATTTGAGCAGATACCAGTACCTGGATGTTTGCGGTATATAAATGTTTAGTTTAAACAAGATGTGTGAAAGCTGTATGTTTACAAAAGTTTCATTGTGTGTCCTTTTTGTATTCCACGAGACCGCCTCCGTGGTCTAGTGGTAGAGCGTCCGCCCGGAGAGTGGAAGGTCCGGGGTTCGATCCCCGGCCGCGTCATCCCAAAAGACGTTAAAAGATGGTACTTGTTGTTACCCTGTCTGACGCTCGACATTAAGGGGCTAAAACAAGGACTGGTCGGCTCGGAGTCAGTATACTGTGTCTGAGTGGGGTATTCATGTTAAACTGCGGCATAGTATCTCAGTGAGCTAGCACTATAAATCGGCATCAGTCCTGACTGGTACAAGCAGCCACACAAACACATACACGTACATGCACGTCGCTATATAAGTGCAATAATCTTGGACGCGACGTTAAGCCCAATTTCACCTCACCTGTATTCCACGATTACGCAATGGACGAATTCGCAATGGCTGATCAATGGTTAGCGCTATCAATTAAGATCTTATTACATAGAAAGTGACCAGTGGACTCAAACAAAATACACTGGAATGATCAACTGAACCTAGTTTCTATTCGTGTCAGGCGAACGTAAACCACTTGCTTACTCTACATATGCCAATGGAAAGAAGCTAATGATAATGCCCGCGTCCTTTGGTGAACATATGTTTAAATCTCACGATGTAATCTCACAAATATCGACATCCTGTCTACAGCATGGACGTGGCAGAAGATTTTCTGTCATTTACTACACTATATTAACGCTTCCCTGCCCAGCATACAATATCTGTAGCCATAAAAATGTCTGGCCTACTGCCAGCTCCAGTTGTGATATAGATCATGAAACAAACGTCTCCCTGCTCTTTTTGGATATAACACGCATAGGCGCGAACTATTTCTTCTGTTGAAAAGTTCCGTTGTAAATTGCCGGAAGATGGACCTCTTTCCGGGAGTATGACATCCTCGTCATAAGGTAGACAGTAAACGGTTTTGTAGATAAAGATCTCTGGATTGTATAATATTACCAGAGGCAATGGCGCCGAATAATTTGTTTCTTTTAAAAAATGAGGAAGGGGAATCGTTGCAAGAGTTCATGTATTGGTTTTCTCTGTTTTTTTAATTCTCGGAAAAAGTCCTAACAAACCAATCTCCGGTGAACACATCACAACAATGAAGGAAGTTGTGGGGCTAAATGTATAATATCTAATTGCTACATAGAGACTTGTGTCCTGTAGACTTCCAAATTATGTCTGTCAACAGCCGAAGGCGCCCCCTGGCGATACAGGTACATGTTAAAGAAACTGACAGAATTTAATTTGATGAATGAGCGCTGTTAGGTTGCAATGGGGCTTTCTCAAATTACGCGTTCGGAAATCCGGCTTTGCGATGAATCCGGACGCTTAATGTTGATAAGTGGCGCATTCATTTTTGACAATCTGTTGTGAAATAACATTTACTTCATAAAGTTAATAACTATGTAGCTGTGGCATGCTTATGTTGAGAATATATTTTTTATTTAGTACAAGAAGAAGATGATCCTGAGATACGCGTGCTGATTGTTAATCCTTCATTGTGATGTGTAGCACATTGTGTTGTAGCACATTGTGTGGTTTAGCACATTGTGTTGTAGCACATTGTGTTGTGTAGCACATTGTGTGGTGTAGCACATTGTGTTGTAGCACATTGTGTTGTGTAGCACATTGTGTTGTGTAGCACATTGGGTGGTTAAGCACATTGTGTTGTAGCACATTGTGTTGTGTAGCACATTGTGTGGTGTAGCACATTGTGTTGTAGCACATTGTGTTGTGTAGCACATTGTGTGGTTTAGCACATTGTGTTATGTAGCACATTGTGTGGTTTAGCACATTGTGTTGTAGCACATTGCGTTGTGTAGCACATTGTGTGGTGTAGCACATTGTGTTATGTAGCACATTGTGTGGTTTAGCACATTGTGTTGTGTAGCACATTGTGTGGTTTAGCACATTGTGTTGTAGCACATTGTGTTGTGTAGCACATTGTGTTGTGTAGCACATTGTGTGGTGTAGCACATTGTGTTGTAGCACATTGTGTTGTGTAGCACATTGTGTGGTTTAGCACATTGTGTTATGTAGCACATTGTGTTGTGTAGCACATTGTGTGGTGTAGCACATTGTGTTGTAGCACATTGTGTTGTGTAGCACATTGTGTGGTTTAGCACATTGTGTTATGTAGCACATTGTGTTGTGTAGCACATTGTGTTGTGTAGCACGTTGTGTGGTGTAGCACATTGTGTTGTGTAGCACATTGGGTGGTGTAGCACATTGTCTGGTGTAGCACATTGTGTTATGTAGCATATTGTGTAGTGTAGCACATTGTGTTGTGTAGCACATTGTGTTGTGTAGCACATTGGGTGGTGTAGCAGATTGGGTGGTGTAGCTCCGCTAAACGAGCTGTATAACTGTTCACTTACACAGTTTGTTCTCCCAGTGACAACTATCGAGTAATCAAATGATACAGTCTGACCAGAAATTATCGAGAATGAATGAACATTGCTAATTATAGATAGGCAAAGAGATGTGTTTGTCCAACAAACACTGGTTAACTGAAGCTACAAAACAGCAAACTGTTAAATATTTTGCCAGATTATCTCTATTCCTCCTAATATACATGCTCTTCAATGCGGCGAGGCCTGCTGCCATCCCGGCCGGAGTGTAACATTTTGCTCGTTGAACCATTCCTGAGATTTCCTTTGTACAAGTATCACCTGGCAACTGCAATGAAATTAAGGAGTGTAGTTTGGACGCTGGTAAATTGTTTTTTCTGTACCGTTGGTCGTCCACGTTTTTATGTAGTTTGGATATATCCGCACTGAACCTTCAACTGAGAACATAATATTATCCCAATTAAAATTGTTATGCTCCAAACACCAGTTCAAACGTTGTTCTTGTTGTGCAGGTTTTAGGAGTGGTGATGGAATTCTTCGTGATTTCTGCGGGTTCTAACGTTGTTATTGTCGCTTTAGAAACATCAACCGTTTTATCATTATCTATTAATCATTCATGCCTTATATTTTCTACGCTCAGGACGCCAATGTACCAACTCGCCTTCTGTCATCCACAGTCAATTTATTTGGCATATCTGCCCTGTTTGTGCCCCTATTCCTTTTCCACTCACATTTTATTTAAACACGGTACACAGTGGAATGTCTGTTCTCCCTGTAGTGACCTGTGCTGATCTATATTCTTGATTGTATAATTCAGAATTATTTTTTTTCAAAGCTGCCATTTCCACAGTGGTCTTGTTTTCAAAGGGAGACAACTCTGGTCAGACAAAAATGACACGCGAGTCAGACTAAGTTCTTCATACATCTTTGACATTGATGGCCAAAAGGTACGAACATTTCTAAATAATTCCTGGTGAAACTAATGCCACAAGTTTGATTGGTACTTCACGTTTGATTAATCATAAAACCTGCGCATGAATGTCTCGTTCCTTATGTCTCCGGGTTGAGGCGAGTATACTTGTCGTCGGGGCGACTAACAAGGTCGGGTGGTCAGACTCGCGGATCTGGATGGTGCATGTCATCGTATCCCAATTGC